CTACACAATCAACCCAACCATCACCTCACCTGATAACACTTACAATACAGATTAATCAGAATCCACTCATTAATCACTCACTCCTATCACTATACTAGATCACCACAACTAATTGCTTCATAATAATGTGTCAATTGTCGACAGTATCAATTCAAACTGTAATTCGTGATTATCATTACATGTGGACTATTGAATCAAATCATCACCTAAGTTGAATTCAATTCCAGTGTGTGTAATGATGAATAATCCAATGTGTATTTACTGAGCACGCAGGTATTACTCCCTCTTTCCATATTAAATATGCTCGTTCACTTGTTCCTGTTGATGTGTGTCGATCTGCATCTATGAGTGTCTGAAATAAATTGACTATTGATTGGCATGTGAATCGGGTGTAAATGGTCGGATAGAAACGGTGTGGGTAAATTTTGATGAGAAACTCTATATCCTACTGAAATACAGTAGATCAGCGACGGTGTGTATGTTGTGAACGTATGGAATGGCTGAAATTGTGTTTACCATGTGAATCGTTCAAATGTTTGATGAGAATATTGTACGAAATGTAGTTGGTCGTGTTTATTGTTTGGTATCAGTATCAGATGTTTATGGTATTTTATTGATACAATAAGTTGTGTGCAGAGTATAATGTGTATGTATGGTAATGTAGTATTAGTGGTATATATAGCATTAGTCGTCTGACTTTCATAACTCTGGTGTCTCCTCATTTGCGGATAAATCTTTCGCCTTTTACTAAAGATTTCCGTGGGGAGGCACAATACAATGAGTCTTAACTCATTTTTTCCAACTCCGTCCTTGCACGGAGTATTATCAAACAATATAGATAACATACTGTGACCATGCATGCGTTCTCCAAACTTACTTACCACCGGTCGATCACATCATCCACTCTTATCAACTATCTCACTAATAATAACACACACTCTCCAATCAACAAACAATCGTCATCATCATCTCATCATACACACTAACTAAGCCTACACAATCAACCCAACCATCACCTCACCTGATAACACTTACAATACAGATTAATCAGAATCCACTCATTAATCACTCACTCACTCACTCACTCCTATCACTATACTAGATCACCACAACTAATTGCTTCATAATAATGTGTCAATTGTCGACAGTATCAATTCAAACTGTAATTCGTGATTATCATTACATGTGGACTATTGAATCAAATCATCACCTAAGTTGAATTCAATTCCAGTGTGTGTAATGATGAATAATCCAATGTGTATTTACTGAGCACGCAGGTATTACTCCCTCTTTCCATATTAAATATGCTCGTTCACTTGTTCCTGTTGATGTGTGTCGATCTGCATCTATGAGTGTCTGAAATAAATTGACTATTGATTGGCATGTGAATCGGGTGTAAATGGTCGGATAGAAACGGTGTTGGTAAATTTTGATGAGAAACTCTATATCCTACTGAAATACAGTAGATCAGCGACGGTGTGTATGTTGTGAACGTATGGAATGGCTGAAATTGTGTTTACCATGTGAGTAGTTCAAATGTTTGATGAGAATATTGTACGAAATGTAGCTGGTCGTGTTTATTGTTTGGTATCAGTGTCAGATGTTTATGGTATTTTATTGATACAAGAAGTTGTGTGCAGAGTATAATGTGTATGTATGGTAATGTAGTATTAGTGGTATATATAGCATTAGTCGTCTGACTTTCATAACTCTGGTGTCTCCTCATTTGCGGATAAATCTTTCGCCTTTTACTAAAGATTTCCGTGGGGAGGCACAATACAATGAGTCTTAACTCATTTTTTCCAACTCCGTCCTTGCACGGAGTATTATCAAACAATATAGATAACATACTGTGACCATGCATGCGTTCTCCAAACTTACTTACCACCGGTCGATCACATCATCCACTCTTATCAACTATCTCACTAATAATAACACACACTCTCAATCAACAAACAATCGTCATCATCATCTCATCATACACACTAACTAAGCCTACACAATCAACCCAACCATCACCTCACCTGATAACACTTACAATACAGATTAATCAGAATCCACTCATTAATCACTCACTCCTATCACTATACTAGATCACCACAACTAATTGCTTCATAATAATGTGTCAATTGTCGACAGTATCAATTCAAACTGTAATTCGTGATTATCATTACATGTGGACTATTGAATCAAATCATCACCTAAGTTGAATTCAATTCCAGTGTGTGTAATGATGAATAATCCAATGTGTATTTACTGAGCACGCAGGTATTACTCCCTCTTTCCATATTAAATATGCTCGTTCACTTGTTCCTGTTGATGTGTGTCGATCTGCATCTATGAGTGTCTGAAATAAATTGACTATTGATTGGCATGTGAATCGGGTGTAAATGGTCGGATAGAAACGGTGTTGGTAAATTTTGATGAGAAACTCTATATCCTACTGAAATACAGTAGATCAGCGACGGTGTGTATGTTGTGAACGTATGGAATGGCTGAAATTGTGTTTACCGTGTGAATAGTTCAAATGTTTGATGAGAATATTGTACGAAATGTAGCTGGTCGTGTTTATTGTTTGGTATCAGTGTCAGATGTTTATGGTATTTTATTGATACAAGAAGTTGTGTGCAGAGTATAATGTGTATGTATGGTAATGTAGTATTAGTGGTATATATAGCATTAGTCGTCTGACTTTCATAACTCTGGTGTCTCCTCATTTGCGGATAAATCTTTCGCCTTTTACTAAAGATTTCCGTGGGGAGGCACAATACAATGAGTCTTAACTCATTTTTTCCAACTCCGTCCTTGCACGGAGTATTATCAAACAATATAGATAACATACTGTGACCATGCATGCGCTAAACTTGCCAACCAACTACTACTACTGATTAACTAACTTACTAACGGTCAATCAAATCATCCACTCTTATGTCAACTATCTCATTAATAATAACACACACTCTTCAATCAACAAACAATCGCCATCATCTCATCATACACACTAACTAG